ACTGTATACTTTGTACCAGAAAATAATGTGGAAATTTACCAAATATTATTATTATCATATCTTATTTTGTTTATTCATTTATTTATTTTTATGAATTCTTTCCTATACTTTCCAGTTCTTTTTCAGTCTTTTCATTCAAATTTCTTGAGGCGTGAAATATACGATTTACAAATTCCAAGAGAGAGTGTGGAAAGTTCCATAATATACATTTACATATTTTCTACTTTTTATGACATTATCGTCGATATTAATTTGACTTTAATTAGATGTATAATTCTAGTGTCACACATGATAACTTCCCGGATAAAATTTAGAATTCAGTGTTTATTAATCAATATTCTCCCATTGTGTTTAGGACAACATCAACCCTTGATGTCTGGATCCCTTGAAACTGACACCAAACTCAAATAAAACACTATTACAAGAGATTACTACAGTAACTGACCATTTAACTCAATAAACGGCTATATTGACAGTTGGTCAAACACCCACTCAAATCAATTATGTCCAGGTCCATCCTTGTTAAAGAAATGTTATCGTTAATGGGAAGTCAGTATTGATAGATGTCTTTCTTGACCATCAGACATGTGTATGGTCACTGGTGCCTTTATTTGTCCCTAGTGTCGTCAGTTGTCCGGCCAGTTGACCAGTCGCCTGTCCAGTCCTCGTCAGGTGTCCCTAGTGCCCCGGTCGGTACCTTCCCTATTTAATTATCCGCATCAATGTAGCAATTACTTCACAATAATAGAAAGGCAATGAAAATCAAAATGGCCGTCGGAAGTGTGTCTGTTGTAAACTGCCTTTCATTTGTGATGTAACATAACACTGCCTAAGGGACCTACACACTATCAACAATGAAAACAATAGAGAGACATTATCGGTAACACCAAACCCTTGTATCTCAAGTGTGAAGATGGGCATTGCTGTATCTCTAGGCTGACACGAGAGGGGTACCGAATATCAATCACGCTTAATGATAGTGTACCGAATGTGAGGGGGCACGGGAGCGCGAGTACCTGACTGTCCGGTCGGTTCGTTTGACATTCGCTTGTTTATGTGTTTTACAGCTCAGAACACTACTTCTCCCATCGTACCACGTGGAAATCTTCACCAGTTCGCAATAAATCACCACCATATAGATTAAAACAAATGTACTTGGGGTTAGAGGTAGATCCCCCAGTAGCTGCGGGTCACGCCTTCCAGGATATTGCCGGTGTGGGTTACCTCCCGAACTACCACAGATGCCGACAACGATTACAAGGGGGCGTGCTCATCACTAGACATTTGACCGGTTGTCAATAATATTTGTCTAAAATGTTTTGAAAAATCACATTTTTAAGATGTATATGTTTCTGAACTGACTGCCCATGGGTCATTTGAGGTCGCCAGTGACCGCTAATGTGGAATCTCTGTAGGGTTTCACAAAAGTTAAAAAAAAGGATATGTTTCCTTTCAAATTGACAAAGTGTTTAGGCTCTACGACTGATTTATATGAGAAAATATAATTCGTGTAAAACGTGCGAATACATCAGTTCCTTTAATAGTCAAAATAGGAACACATACATGGTATACAACAAATTCGAATTCACCAAAAGAAACAATTGCTTTTTTTAAACATCAGCAAATACGGAAAGCTTCATTTCATAAATATACATGTCGGTTTTTTTTATTATTTTTCCCATCAATATAAAGATTTCGTTTCTTTGAATGAAATATTGCATTTGAAGTAGAACTTTCCCAAAGTTAACTATATGATTCAACCAAACAGTTTAATGTAATATTTGTCTTCTATTTTATTTTTTTCAGAAAAAAACATTCAAACAAAACCTTCTATCTAGGATAATTACACTACATTTATTGAGGTGGTTTTACTTCGAAATGATTATTTTTTCTAATTCTATATGATTATGTTGTTATCTTTAAACATTGTTTTTGAATTTGAACCAGAACGATGGGACAACATATCACAAGAGTGTTTTTCAAGCTCACTAAATGTATTCTAAAATAAGATACCCCAAACCTGGTCATTATCCTCTGTCTGTCTGTCTGTCTGTCTGTCTGTCTGTCTGTCTGTCTGTCTCTCTCTCTCTCTCTCTCTCTCTCTCTCTCTCTCTCTCTCTCTCTCTCTCTCTCTCTCTCTCTCTCTCTCTCTCTCTCTCTCTCTCTCAGAAAAAGGCTTTAGAGTGAGGACCGTACAACAAGATAAAGTATAAAACAATCAGGGACATTACAAGATTGACATTGGAAGATGAACAATAATTTGTTTTTTTAATGCATACAAATATACAAATGATGAAAATCGACATTTACAGTCACAATACTTAAGAAACAAATGTATCAGCAAATATTCAAGGTGAGGATACTGTTTCTACAGTTTATTACTGTTACAGATAAATTTGACATTTCGCTTTCTCTTGTTTCGGCCTTGTTTTTGATATCAAAGGCGGTAGAAACGTTTGACATATATTGTAAATATTATCTGAATACTTACAACATATACCACAACACCGCCTGGGCTTTCTGGCATAGGGCTCTGCTTTCATTCAGCTATCTAAAGCATAAGTACGTTACAACAGGTGTCATAACCAGAAACCTAACGCACCAGTACCTGCTATCGACTTTGTTCTGATAGCCATACTCCAAACTATCAGTCCGCCATGGCCGACACGAGGTAAATTTAGTACAGTGACATTATTCCCCCTCTATAACTGGTTAAAGTGTCTGTGTGACACTCCTGCCTCTAAGTGCCCCCCTTTTACACTGACACGTGGTTAGTCTGTACAGTGACACTCCCACACTGACAGGTGAACTCGAGTGTGGAGGCGAACATCTGGAGGACAGATAAGAGGCAATCTCCCCTTAATTACCAAGTAATCATGACAACATTGCACCCTCCACTCACACCAATACACAAGCAGATAAAGAATCTATCACCCCAAGTATTCTGAGAATGTTACCATGGAAACGTTTATCTGTCTTGTACTTTATTTACCTGCTTGTTTACTGTTATTCTTATTATTTGTTTGTTGTTGCAAAAGGCTTTCTTGATTTAAGATTGAAATGTTTGAATAATTTTCGTCAATTTGTCTCGGTGAAAATCTAAAAAAAACGAGCTATAGTAAAATGACTCATTTTCACGGGAGTTTATTTCCGTCGATTCCGTTGGTCCTTTTAATCAAAGAATTGATGTGTCTTCATGTTGTTAAATTCCTCAAAAGTAGCTTTGTTTTTTATTCACGAAATCAAACATCAAAGTCTTTTTTATTTTTTTTTTTTTTTTTTTTGAAAATCTCGGAATTTGAACCTCACTATTCTGTACATTATGATTTTAGTCACATTTTTATGCTTAATTGAAGTAAGTATGAATATTTATCAATGTAAGAAAGAAAAAAAGATAAAATCATGTAAGTGAAATGATGGCTTCGATCATGTCCAAAAGTAACGACAATAATTCTAAGTTGCGATAACTGGTCCAAATCCGTGTCACTCAAAGGCGACCGACAACCAACATGTTTTGTATTATCGACGGAACACCTACTGTGTTTTCGTCAATTAGTTAAAACATAGCTGATCAAAGTGCCTATGCATATCAGTCGAAAATGGAACATGTAGATGAATCCTTGATTCATTGCCAAAAGCAAATCGACATGTATACTCATGGCAAAATCGGCGCAATTGTTACCATCAACACGACTTAACGAGAAAAAAAATTTAAAAAGAAAAAAAAAAACACTAATAGCAATTTTATTCACTTGTCGGCTATGTGTATACATATTAAGCTCGGTTCATTCAAACTTATACAAGGTTCAGTCAAATTTGAAAATTATTCTGCTGCAATCCTTTGCAATACATTAGGCGTTCGCCATGAGCGCCTGGAGACAGCCTGATCACTGTTTGGACAGAGTGATCACTCAGGTCGGTAATGACGTGTTTCCACCCCAAAACAAGGCATACATCAATCGGAGGAGATATCTCCTTGATGATTTTTTCCCTAGATTTTTCCTAGTATGTGCTGAGCAAGAAACCTGTGACAATATTAAACACAAATTCATTATTTTGAATTATTTTTCAGTTGCATTGATTTTAACACGAAGTATTTACAACATATCTTCACCTGTTTATGTTTCTTAATTAAAGCCAAAAGTCTTTTTAATTGAAGAAAGGTCAAATTGACAGCTAACGTTTTGTGATCTCATGTGTACTTTTATGTGAGGTCACAGATACAATGTCGAGTCTATGGACACCATGGAGAGAACCTGAAAATGATCCTTTATAGAATATCACCAAATTTCCGGTGTTCTCCCAGGAGTTCGCCAGATGTTTCGTTCTAATGCTTTCAAAGCGTAAACTATATTGAACATTCAATAAAGTACAGTACCTATAAGTCTCAAGGTTAACAGTGTAAGCCTTTTCTCATTTTCCTCTTTTCCAACATGTACAGTTTTATGTTTTGGAATTTAGGTACGTTTGCTATAAATTGAAATCATTTGCATGTATATTATTTCAATTTTAACTCTTCGTAAAATAAAATAACTCCATATAACTCCAGTAGTACACACCATATTTGACTCTCCTGAAGACTAAAGATAAATTCAATTAAAGATGAAAATTATCTAAGAGATCGAAATGACATTTCTCATTTCCCCGCTACAATATCCAGTTAACACGTGTAATTCCTCAATCTCTCTTACCCGTATATATCTCGAAATGTATTCTCTATCTCAATACATCCAGTATTTTACATTCGTTATCACGAACTTTATAGACTGCTGTTTTTTTTTTAACCTCCAATGCTTGACTTTCCCTATCCAGAAGTCTGATGTGCTAATTTCTCAGTCTCCAACATCTTACTTTCTTTATCCAGAAGTCTGTAAAGCTGTTTTCTCAGTCTCCAATACCTTACTTCCTTTATTTCGAAGTCTATAGTGCCGAATTTGATTGATAATTTTTTATCTGTGTATTGGTTCACTCTTTTCAATAATTTTCTTTTTTTGTTCCAGGCGTATGTTCCCTACTCTGCGGGTATCGTTCACGGGAGTTGACCCCGAGGTCAGGTATATGGTGCTAATGGATATAGTTCCGGTTGACAACAAGCGTTACAGATACGCCTACCACCGGTCATCTTGGCTAGTAGCCGGAAAGGCTGACCCGCCCCTCCCGACCAGACTTTACATGCATCCAGACTCTCCCTTCACAGGAGAGCAACTACAAAAACAGACCGTCTCATTTGAAAAACTGAAACTCACAAACAACATGTTGGATAAAAATGGACATGTAAGTATTTAAGCTGGCAGTGTTGTAATGTCCTAATTTGCCAATGATAATACTCAGTACTTCCTTTAAGCAACTTTAAGCAATACATTAGTGGACTCCTAATCGTGAAGGTGGACGCAAGAATGTTAAACACTTTACAGTATTTTTTGTGATTATCAAGGGGTTCATTATTTTCGCTATTTTCGAGGAAATAATAAAAGCGCTTAACAAGAATACCATGAAAACTGATAATTTATCGTACGTTCCATTCTTTCAATAAAAAAATCTTTTTGCTTCAACTTTTGATAAAACCGCGAAAATCTGGGCCATCGAAAACAGCATTTACAGTATAACATTAGAACTGAAAAAATGTTTACCGTAGGTAATGTATATGTAATGTCTACTAGTAAAGATCGTGCTGGTATGCATAAGATCAATCAGATTTTAATAGGAGTGTTGTGTACTTCTGTAAGATATTTTTTTATATAAATTGTGAAATTATTTATTGTTATATAATCCTTTTTACCGCCAAGGTTAACATCAAGTTTGTCTTTAAATACGAATTACCTGGGAAAAAATGCAAAACAACGTTGTCTTCGAAATAAACGAAATGTCTACATGAAGAGGTACATACAGCACCATTTCTCCTCACAGTAAATTCACTTTCAGAACGTTTGTCTCGGCGTAGATGAACTGATGTAGTTTACCGATCAGTCGTACACAACACTGTAAATACGACTGTCTTATGCGCCTAAATCCTTACGATTAAATGCTAAATATATTCGGCGCTCGTGAAGGGGATGAGTGTTCAAAGTAATTGAGAAACACTGTAATGTATCTGCTTTATCTTGTTCCAGATTATATTGAACTCAATGCATAAATACCAGCCGAGAATTCACATTGTAAGAAAGAAGGAGTCGATATCAAATCAGACATCCATTACTAGTCTGGATGCGGAGGAATTCAAGACCTTCGTCTTCCCCGAGAGTGTGTTTATCGGAGTTACTGCCTATCAGAATCAACTGGTGAGTCGATCCAGCAAGGGTCCTCATGTTTGTGTCAAACACGGGTAACATAGCTTTCCTTGTACTCTTTACTCGCACAAATGCTTTCGAGCGGCTCGTAAAACGCTATCTTACGCCACATTCAACACCACCGCCTTCCAATATATAACGCTCTCAAACTTCCCCACATGTCGTTGCAGCATACAGACATTCGTTAAATCACTGCTGAATTTCGGCCAAAATGCTTGTAAACACTCGGAAATTTCCTACTCAATAACGTTTATTTGACATTTATGTTTGCTGTTCTTATGTATTTCACCAATTTGCAATGGAAATTTTGCGTTCTACAGATTACCAAACTGAAGATTGATAGCAACCCGTTTGCAAAAGGATTCCGGGATTCGACAAGACTGACAGAGTTTGAAAGGTATAATTTGTAGTAGAGTTACGAATCATCACACAATCATTGAGACCTGGGGAACCTTAGGGGGACTTCATCACACCCAGTCATATCGTTATATGTTTGCTTCTTCTGTGGCAAAAATTATACCACTTCATTTTTTACAATGGTTTTATCAAAGAGATACAATACTTGAAAAAATGTAATTTTTGGGGGCTTCTATTTGCATCCTTTTAGAAAAAAAAAGAAAACAGCGAAAATTCGAACCATCGAAAATAAATTTACAGCATGAATGTACACATTTAAGTTGAATCGATCATCTGATTTCTGTGACGAGGAAAACTAGGATGCATTTTTAACAAAACTTTTGCAGTTTTTATCGTTTTGAAAATTGTGCTAGTATCATATATGTAATTGTTATCTCCTCGTTTTTTAGATGTCTGGTAAAGCCTACTTGTTTGTTATAAGCTGTACAGTAACACATTATCTTATCTTTTCATTCAACTTTATAGGGTTGATAAGAGGGGGAAAATAACAATTTGAAAAGAATTAAGCTTTTATGTGGTATACGCCACAATCAAACGAATTAAGTACAGTTTACACTAGTGAAACATGACTAGGTATGAAATATTGGTATGACGTCTATCTCATTCATGTTAATATTCACGTGCTCGAAATGACATCACATTTTCTGGTAAACACAGGTTTGAAGGGTAAAATTATTTCCTTGTTTTTGTAAAAAGCCTTTCATTTTTGATCGATTAATATGCAAATCAAAAATAATATCGAACCGCTGAAGGGAGTAACAATGTGTATGAATTTTTCATGAGTGTTGGATTGTAAGTGGAGAGGTGGTCAGGAAAGTCTATAAATGGGGTCGAATTCGCAGCCATGTTATACGGGTGTGCATTCAACCGCTAAAGCTTATTTCAGCTTTGATGATGGGTTGGTACTGTCAACGCGTCGGCCGAACAAATCTATCTCATGGTGGCGTCGCAGTCGTCTGTAAATCAGCACACTAACTGTTTTACAAGATTGTCGCTTCACATTGGAAAATATCGCTTACCATATATAAGCACTGTAATAAGTGTAGTGTTTCTCATACCGTCTCCTGAGTAGAATTTAGGGGGATATCGATTTCTTTTCCTTCAACCGTGCATGGTAATTCAATCCAGATAATGCGTTTAATGTTACGTTCTTACCTCATGTTGTTACATATACATGTGTATATTACGTCATCATTTCATGTTTGTACACACTCTTGTTTACGTCATCATTTTATGTTTGTAAACACAATCTTTTTTTGCATCATCATTTGATGTTTATTTACATAGTTTTTGACGTCATTACTTCATGATTTTATTTCTTCTATATTATGTCGTTTATTTATTTCTTATTGGGTTACATGTGACAAATTGCATGGTTTTTAACAAATTTTAAACAAAATATTTCGCGGTTGCTGCAACATGGAACCCCTACGAGATATGTGCCGTGACAAACTCCATACTTGACGTCGGTATTGTTACGCTCTGTGCCTAATCCCTTGTGTACCTAACCCAGTATGTGTATGACCCCTCGGCTCCTGACCACTCATCATTTGCCTTGATTTTATTTTTTTCATAAAGTCCATCTGCCTCTGACCACGTCTTTCTTAAATACAGAGAAAGTATGGAGACGTTGATCCAGCAGCATACCTACGCCCGGTCACCTCTCCGGTCGTACACAGACGCTGAACTAGAGGAGTCACTCAAACAGCACCGGGAGTTTCTCGCCAAAGGTACATACTTTAGATTTTCTCACATATCACTGATTCCGCATTTCATCGCCACTTGTCATTGATTAGACATTACTAGTAACTTAGCACTCATTACTGTTCAGATAGTTCTTCGTCACACATCACCCATCAAACAGTTCCTCGTCATACATCACCCATCAAACAGTTCCTCGTCATACATCACCAATCAAATAGTTCCTCGCCACACATCACCAATAAAGTAGTTCCTCGTCACATCACCAATCAAACAGTTCCCCGTCTCACATCACCTGTACTATTCTGCTTACATTAACATAACTAAGACGCCTTATGACACCAATAGCTTTGTCCTTAAGTAGTACAAACATTGTTGCTTTATATCGTCATTCTCTATATTTCTTCCAAAAAGTGCAACACAGCATAAAGATTTGCTGTCTGTCAGTATATCCTTATCTAAATTTTGACTTTTCCTTTCGATCACTTTGAGTTTTCCTCAGTCGCCTTCTAGGCTTCAAAGTTAAGTCCCTTAATATCACTGACAAGTTTCGGAAGGACGAGAGAGCTGCATTTTACTTCATTATTTGGCTTCACTGTATCTAATTCTAAATCGGTAATAACAGTTGCTACTCACCTGTATGTCTTTTGTACAATTTTCAAGTGAATGGGAATTTCTTTAAATTTGATTCGAAATGTAAATGATAGTAAGCTTATTTCAACTCTGCTCAGTATCATACTTGTATTATCTAAATGGCTTCCAACTCCCTTTTTGCTAATGTAATTCTATAGTATTACATTATTTCATGTTTAGAAAGGATCCTTTGTGCATATACTAAACATGAACGTTGGGAATTTAGTTTTTATCGTGACGTATTCAGTTTTTAGTATCTGTTGAATAAATGTTTTAAATGGTTCATTGATCATTCTTATTAATTTATTTTTCATTTATTTATTTATTATTTTTTTTAAATAAATAGAAACAGCAAACCTCAAGTTTAATTGTGTATATGCATAAGAATGATATTTATTTCAATATTTTATATACAATGCTCAGTCCAATAAAGTTATTTTTCATATTAGGACGTAACTGTCAAATTTAGAAAATGTTTTGATGTAAATCAGAACTTAATGTGTGATCAGGCTTTGATCGGCAATATTTTATATTGTGTAATATCCAATCAATAGCTGGGGTCATTTAATGACCATCTCCCTATATTTGCGTGTTGATTGTTTATTTTATTTTTTTTTTTTTTTTTTTTTTTTTTTTTTTTTTTAATTTTTTTTTTTTTTTTTTTTTTTTTTTGGGGGGGGGGGGGGGGGGGGGGGAGGCTGTGTTTCTTTGTATAAACTTCCCTGTGATAGTTGTACCACTGTACTGAAGGAAGGCCCGAATCAGGGTTCCCTACCCAGTCACAATATACTAACAACAGACAAATCAGTCGTTACACTACCAGAGTCTCTGGTATCTTTACTATAGCTATTGCCATATCACTACTTAATTTTTTTCTTTATTCAATTCAAGTACGCCAGTATTCTTTTAAAATTGATATGATAGACCTCACCATAGTATACTACATGAAATCCAGCGTATCATATATTCTTTTTTAAATTTACTTCAAAATGATAATTGTTTTAATCCTAAACAGTTCTCTAGGGGCCTCACATTATCAGTTGAATACTTCATCAATTCAAGATGATATTTATGGCAATGTAAGTGATTGAATGTACAACTGAATTTTCATTATTCTATACAAGATATATTATTTGATACGATTTAGTTTCTCCTAAATCATATTGAAAATAAACTTATTTATATCAGAGACAAACAGTAGTTATGATGTGAATATGATAACTAACAATTTTTCAAATGCTGTATTTACAGTGATGACATATTTTTTGCATAAGAAATAAAAATAAAGGAACAAAATATTAAAGATTAAGAATATATCATACTATTCAAACTTGTGAGTATCATGTCAGAATAAGTTTATTTCTAAAAACTAAGACACAGACACATGGCATACATCACCTGGGTAATATTTTTGAAAACATAAATTATGTTATAACAGTAACTTAGCAGGGAAAGCTGCATTCTTCAATTTGGTGAAAATAAAAAAAAAAATTTTTTTTATTTGAAATATGTTGTAACATTTTCTAGGAAATATCATGCAACTTGCCATTGAATTCATAGTCGATTTTAAATTATATGAAAAATGTTCAATTTAGATTTTTGCAGTTTTTTTTTTACTTTTTTCCAAACTCTGTAGCTTAACGGCAACATTAAACGGCCCTGAAAGATGAAAAGGGTGTTAAGTTAAGGTTTCCCTTTATTACCTGTATTGTATTTGTTTATCTTATATTGCATTTATCATTTTATGTTTCACTATAACTATGGATAGTCACACGGTTTCAAAAGTTTTTTTCTCTCTATAGTCGTTTTTAGAATTAAATGTCGTAAAGTATATATTTAAGTTTTGCTAATACGCCTTCTTAGCATTTTCCCATCTTTATTAATTAATTTCTAAATGTGATCATCAAATATTTGTGTCCTAGCTGGAAATTTGAAGATAGACTATTTCTTGCAATGGCTATACCGCATATGAGAGTTTGTGGTTAACCACATATTCTATACACTGTTATCAGTGTCAGCCAGCACAACACATCCCTGTAGTTGCACTTTACTAGTGCATTTTACAATTAGACTAAAACTCTATCCAGTATCACCACACGGTGATGGTAGCCTTCCAAATGAACAAAAAATAACAATATCAATTAAAAGAGATGACCTACCGTTGCATTCTTCTATTTCGACATCGCCAAAATGCTTTAACCTCTTGACCCTATCTCCTGGAGTTGGATTCATTCATGTCATTATCGTAAAAGGACTCTATCTGTTTTTTAACTTTTATTTCTTGATTGCGACCTGATCATTTACAGCCACGGCGATTCATCACGGAGTTCATAACGAGTTGTTGTAGGTATACATTTACAAACAAGATCCTGACTTGCAGGTGGTCTAAAATATAAACATAAAACCTACTGTTAATTTAGGTTTCCGCGCGAGGCTTCCGTAAAGGTGTCAGACCTTTATACGGATCGCTTCAATGCCTCGCTGAGAAATGCCCTTCGTGTTCAAATAATATTTTACTAATAGTTTCGCGTGTTTAATTTGCCTTGTGACTTCAAATGAAGAGGGTTGTCTGCTTCGTTTCGCCTGATGTTTTTGTGTGGTCCCTTTGGGTCAGATGTGGCTAATCAGCAAGAACCAAAACCGCACACTTTAACCTGACTATGTTTTAAGGATACCGAATGCACCTGTTTCAAAATCAAAAGAACATTTTTTACAATATGGCCTGATTTTTCTTCATCACGCACATTCTCATCGACGAATCGCCCATTAATTTGTAAAAAATATAACACATCAACGTTGTTAGTGTGACTATTCTCGCGTTTGAAGTATTCTCTGGAAAAGAATAAATAATGCTTACTTTCATATACATGTATATATGTAACTTTAGTATTGCTACTTAAAACTCTTTTTTCAAATATTGATGCAATATCATTGTAACATGAACAATGTTAATGCCATACAAACGATTTATTCTCTAAAATGTTTAACTGAAGTTTTGCTCATCTTTTCTAATTTCAGAAGAGACAGAAAAGCAAAACATGCTACCTCATCCACATTTTCCAATATGGCGGCCTATCCCTTCGTCAGTGATGGGTTCTTCTGCCGGTGCTTCCTCCTACATGCCTAATGACAGTCGGTCACTGTACGCCCTCTATGGTGGGTTATTTGGACTCCATAACTCCAGTTTTGTATTTCCAACAGTAGCTTTTCATCCGTTTGTTAGTGCCAATAATCTTCGGATGAGAGAATCCATGCCAGGCAGTGTATCATATTCATCATCTTCAGAAACCCCCGGACTTCCTTATCCAGCATCTATGTACAGATATCATCCATATTTATCACCTGACAAAATGGCACAAAAGAGTTCAGATTCCTCGGTGGTGGACAGTTGTAGACCCTAGCAGTAGTATTCAATATTTATTTACCAAAGTACATCGATACAAACTGAATGTATTCTGAATCAAAAAGATGTTTGATTAACATGTGTTAGCCTCTAGTCGCCATTCAACTGAAGTTGATCTTGCCCGTTCAAAACGAATAAGGAATTCTTCCTTTGAAGTAACTGGTTGTCGGTAAGGACGTACATAATGATATACGTCATTTTTACCAAGCAGTTGGGATTTTAAGTAATGAAGTATTTAATGAACTACGTCAGCATTTGTACAGACAATTGTTTGTCCGTGATATATTCAGTATCGGTTTCGATGTTGATAGACTTATGTTTGACAACAGAAGTATATTATGTGCCATATTTAGGACCTACATGATAAAAAAAGTGGCTGTGATAATAAGTTCATTATATATTAATTATTCGGAGATATTTCTTGAGTTGTCCTGTTTATCTAAACAATCAGTTTCTTCGGAAATCAAATATGAATCTGGTTATAAAATAATAGTCTGGCTCTCAGCCTTATACATCAACAACATAAAAGTGCCCATTTCAGTATTTGTAAGAATGTAAAGAATTGGCATTCAAACGACACAGTAGACAACAGTCTTTAACTAAAATGGGTCACTTTGTTTACTCAAATTGGCAGCCAATTTCTGAAATTGTTTGCAATAGTTAAAATTTCTCTTAATTATATTAATGTTTGTTTCATTTGTCTAGATATTTATTTGTTTATTTACGTGTACATATTGATAACATGGAAGTGCTGATGGTGTGTTGTTGATTGACACATTTGTGTAAACAAATTGTTTACATCCTGGGACTGATCTCGTCATCATGTCAATAAAATAATGACAATTGCCAAATTTTGTTTACATAATTATTTCTTAAAGGTATGAACTCATACTGAACAATTTCGTTTTATTCTGTTCAATGTTCCATTTGTGCCAAACACAGTCGCCTATTGTTCTTACAACACTAACGCATCTTTCAGAACATATAAGAGACAGAATGTAAACCATTGCGCGTGTCCAATTAGTTTGACATTGGCTCCGTGTGTCACTTCATTGGTGATGAACTAGTAATCCTATTACAATATGCACTATTCATCGCCAATATTGGAGTAATTTATCTTGTTTTAATATTCACAAGTCGATGAGATAATCAAAAGTGTTTAACATGTAGTTCCGGTCACTGGACCGATAAATGAATCTGTCCGCGGGCACCTGTAGCCCTGAGCCCTGTCAGCATACGCCAGTATTATGATAACAGTTGCTACATTCAGTAATAAGGCAATATGTTTATTTTAATTCCTTTTCATTTAAATACAACGAATATGTAAAATATATGATGACTTATTTTGGCTGCAATATATACATGAATGGGCGAATTGATGATAAAAAAGACAAGACAAAACTGCTATCTGAATCAAACAAACACTCAATAGTGAGCCATTTGCGCCTCTTGTCAGCAAGGTGTTTGTATTGGTCTTTATAGACACCGTCCGTGTTGACATGACTAGACTGAAACCATGGACAAGTTGTAAAGCTACGTGCCCAGAACTGATGTGACTTGGAATGTAATGTGTTTTGGTAGTGCTGTATGGCCGATACGAGTGATAAAATTAGAGACATGTCGAAATCAAAAGCAATAAACAAAATCAATGTTCTATGCGAGCACTTTTTTATCGTTGAGAAGGCTGATTAGAATTCTACTTAAATAAATAGAATGTTTTCAAGCCCTTCTATTTTTGTTTTTTAGTTTTACGTATTCATACCGATACCCCATTGCTGAGACCAGACATACATACATAACTATATTAATTCCAAGATTCTTTAATTGATATAGTAATTTTCGAAGTACAAGAAAGGATATAACTTAAACATCAGTAATTCTGTTCGGGTTAATTTATCACATGACTGATGATAAAATCAGTGCATAATTCATATGATACTCAATAATGTCAATTAAGTGAAATTTAAGTGATGACATCATAATGTAATATGGTGAGATCACATAACACATTATATAAGGTCGTATAGAGAGAATGAGATATACAGCAAAGATGACCGAAAACACAAATATAAACAAATACATTTTTTTTCATAAAAATCTGTAAATCCTCGGATCACAGAATTGAAACAGATGTCTTTTTATTTGCATTTATATTGGCCTTACCGCTATTAATATAAGATATTCTCTGTTTACGTGGCTATAGACAAACGAAGAAAATATAATATAACGAATAAGAATCAAGATTAAAATATGGTACTTGGTAGCCAGCAAAGATCTTGCCCATGACAAGATATCTCCACGAAAGAAAAAACACACAAACATTTCGTGCTTTGCAGTATATAATACCATTTACCATAAAAGAAAATTATAAAACACTACTGTTTTCATATTTTCTTTTAAACTTGTTAAATAAGAAAATCTTTACTCTTTTTTCACATAAATACTATGTTTCAACATTCATATTCCAAAATCAAGGAAATAAAACGATATCATTAATCTGTAAAGCATTAGATATAAAGCTTGTTTAACATCCTTCCGTAAGTATCTTCACTCGTCAACCTTTCATTTATTGTATTGATCTAGGCCAGCACACATTTCTTTCTCGTACACAGTTTTCAAGACCTCGTTCAGTGTATTTCAGTAAGGCCATATCACAGAATGATGATAGATAATGAATACATTACGTTTTGCACACTGTCACTCATAGTGATTCAGAATGGAAAAGACTGTGAATACACTGTTTGGTATGCTGTCGTTTATAGTGTTATAATTCATTATGTAAAGAAATCATATAAGCGTTACCTATCGTAAATGTAATAAACTCGGGAAATAAAATACTTAAAAGAAATTCCATGAAAAAAACCTATTTGAAGAAACAATAAAACACATAAAACATGAAATAAGAAATAAGACTCGTAGTAACACAAATTCTAGGGCCGTAAAATTAGAGGGGAAAAATAGCATCAAATGATGTTTTCCTGAAACTTTCTTAAATTAAAGTAATAATTATTATTTCAAATATTTTAATAAATGATATGAGATCTAGGTAAGGTATTTGTGTGTGCACCGGTTTCCGTGGAGCTCGAATCAGTGTTCCAGATACCTCACTAAAACTTTGAGTGGTGTGCAAAGTCATATGGCCAAGAAAGTATTGGTGCCCCGGTGATTTAGTACATGTGTACGTTAAGGACGATATTTCTTCCTGCCTTCAACAGTATACTTTATACTTAACATCAAATTATACAAGTGCTGATCTCTCGAGGACGTACTTCCGGTTGCAGTATAAGGAAGGAAGCAGACTGTATATCTCTATAGAGAATGTATTAACAGTCAAACTCTGGAGTGTAAAACACACATACTCCTCTATAATATAAAATGTTCCACAGAACTTGGCGTTAAATGCATGAATTGTCAAATTAATTTAATGCTCATCAGCGGACCTTAAATATAAATCCGATGCTGTTATTTTAATTTTATATCAAACACATTGAGATGAAAAGGCTAGGGCCGTAAGATTTAGTCTTTATGACATGATTCTAGACATGTTACTGCTTAGAGAATGTGCTTAACGCAAGTGTAACGGATAATAAAACCAACGCCTTTCCGAAGACCTAGTAAACAGTTAGTTAATATTGCTTTAAATCACAGATACTTTGAGAGCAAACACATAACATGGCTTCCCACGCTTTTATTGCAAACGTGTACACTAACTAAAATTTCACACATTTACACATCCAGGCTGACGTGAAATAGGGAAATGTCGATGAATTAAACGTCACCGTCATCTTCAATTAGAAACTTTCCACTTGGTATGGATAAACAGATAGTAAGGATACAACATCAAAGTTCTTGGTGTCTGTATAACTTTTACTATTTAAAAGTTGATATCGTCTTTAGTGGAAGGATTTCATTATATTAGACAGGATGTCATGATGATGCTAGGAATTGTTTCTCTATTGCAGACGTATATGTATATCCTTCAAATCTTTATGGTATCTACAAACAATAATATTTGGTGAAATCGTTCAAAATAATGTAAACTTACCATACTTAATAGGTTAGTTTGAAAGAGCTAAATAATATGTCGAAATCATTTAAGATTAAAGCCGTTCATTGCATTTTATCAACAAAATCGTCTAAACAAAAATCTACTTCTAAAATATAACCGTTATTGAGCTAAGGATTAAATGAAATTTGACAATAAAAGTAAACATACACATAAATATATATTCGAATTATTATCATTTTCTCCTTTACATGACTTTCGATAGGCAACAGTTATAAGGGCTGCGTGAGAGTTTGTTCATCGGAACAAAAGAAAATGGTTGCCTTGAACCTATTTAACAAATAAATTGTGTTCTAAAGTAAATATTTGAATATCAAAATGTTTTGTTTTAAATTCTTGGGAATGACTTGTATGTAGGATCACACTGTTAAAGTACACGGGCACTCTTCAATGTTCGGGATCTGACAGTTTGCTCGATTAGGATACTATCTTCAACAGGAGTTATAAACATCGAGATTAAAACTTCTCACCACGGATATCATACAAATAAATAAGCATGTTTGACATATTAGTGTTATTTGTTGATTGATATCTATCATAGCTCCTCCCTTATCTCATCACATTTGCTGAAGTGTTATATGATAGAATCTTACATGGTATGTAAACAAATTTACTATGTTTTATTATAGAAATAGCATAAGCAATCTGTCTAGATTAATTTCATGATTCATTTATAGTGCAATCGTTTGTTCACCTGATTATTCCTTTTTGTCGAGTAAACTTCGCAACAACGTGCAATTCTACAAAGAGTATACAAAAGCTACGCGAGTGAATCGCACCTTTCAGTTTTAGAATTAGATAGAGTAGAGATAAGTAATGAACCAAGGTACATCATACATCTGTTTCGTCCTGTTTAGGCGACAACAAGGAAAATCCAAAGTGATTGAAAAAATGAAAAAAAAATCTAGCTGGAAGGTGCATTTGCCTCGTAT